ACACAAGGTTTACATGGACAGTCAGCCAGCCAGAGGGACGGACAGACGGACATAGCTTAATCGACTCAGAAAATGCTTGTAAGCCGATTAGTATACTTTAAGGTGGAACAAACCCAATATATCCTCCCCAATAAAATGGTGGAGGGTAAAATAAGAAGGATTGCCCGATTCAAATGAAATTTGAAGAGGAAGTGTTGTCGAGCTCAACTTTTGAATTTGGACCTCATATGTTCACCATAGGTGTAGTCAAGGGTCTGCAAAGTATTTCTCATATAATGTTAGCTTTTCAAAATCTATACATCTTTTAAGAAAATTTTTAGAAAATTATATTTGAATCAGGCAAACTGTTTACATGTTACAGAATTATTTCCCTCTTTTTTATTTCTATACCACTGTGCGAACTTAGAATGAAGCAAATTTAAATTTTCGGCGGGAAAATCAGCAACTTTTATTTTTTATAACCATCAAAGTTAACATTCTTATTTATTCGACTTCAATTCTTTATAAAATAGATTAAATTATAATGTTTTGTATATTTAAAACTTCTTTCTAAAACATGAAATCCTCACTAAAATGTCAAATATTATTTAAAAAAATTAAGAAAGTATAGTCGGTCGTGGCCGACCATATGAATACATATTAAATGTGATTTATTTTTCATAATAAAGCATTTATCTTGAATATTACCTTGTATCCGAATTATTTAATTTATTATTTGATAAAGTTTGGTACATAGATATTTATATTATAAGGGGAATTTTGTATAAGAGGTAGGGCCAAATGATGTTTAAGTCACTCGGTGACGCAACACTTTCATTATTTATCACTTAAAAAATAGTTTATTTTATGCCTTTAAGATACATACGATTTAATTGAAATATGATTATTGTGATAACCCAGATTGAAAATAAATTGACGAAAATTAACTACTTAATTAAAACTTTTAGTTTTGGTTTAAATCTCTTACATTTAGCATCATAATATTTAAATAATCAGTGCATAGCTATATTATTCATTTTACAGGGTCGGATTACATTTCACTCAAAAAGTCTGCAACACTTTGCTTATTGTTGTTCAAACATGTTCAATTTTCCACTACGTATATATTTATTTCGTCTGTGCATTAAAACAGACAACAATATGTCTGCAGCATTTTTGTTTTCCGTTTCAATGTTATGGTTATTGAATTTTGGTGACGCCAAAATTTTGCAATGACTTTAGAGAGACGTTGAATAAATTTTAATATACATATATACATGTACGTATTGCTCATTTACTACGAAACTGTCATAATCAAATTAAAATTAAATAAAAAAGATAATAAAAGTCGTATGACTAATACATATTTTTGCATTTGCACTATTGGTATAAGACTGGACACAGCTGTTTCTTTTCTTTGTGTTTACATAAAATGAATGATAATTGTTTTTTAATCATTTAAAAAAAATTTGGATAGCCATACGACTGTCAAATTTTTCACCCGCATTTTCTCTCAAATGGCTATAGAATGTTTTATGAAATTTTACTTTTTCTGAAATAAATATATGAAAAACGTGAATTTCAGTTTTGACGTTTACAGCAAAAAATCACTTTAATACCAAAAATAGTAGACATTTAAAAACAAAGATAAAATTAAATAAAATAGTTAAAAACGATAAATATTATGAAATACACGGTTCAAACAACACAAATTTTGAGTTATGCCAGTCTTGTAGTAAATGAGCGATATGTAGTTTGAAAATAATAGTAATAAATGGAATGTAGTAGTAGTTTTTGTTAGTAGTAGTTAGCACCCAGTAAGAATCAAAAAAATTTGGAATATAAAAAATAATTATGACTGTAAGAAGAATAAAAATATCAATATTTTTATCTCTACATGTAGAAAACATATAATAACCAGTGAAACCAAGAAATGTTCTCATTTTATTTTTTTAAATTGGTTTTTAATATTTTTGTATAAACAATTTTAGTACTTAAAACAATAAGAGGAATAAATTATAAAAAATAAATCTAATAGGATGTAATATTAGTTATTTCAGAACATAATTTCCAGCCTATTTAGGCTTTAGTTTGGAGCATATTTTATACATTTTAAGAGCATACTGCATATTTAAGAACAACTTTTTGCCGAGTATTTTTTGTTTCCCTGGTTTTTCTTTTGAATGCATTTTTTTTAATTTATATTATTTCGTCTTCGCATATTTTCAACAGACGGAGTTTTTAAGGACCAAAAATATACATATATGTATATTAGGGTGACCCTGTTTGTATGGACCTGAAGTTCGCACCAAAACCTGAAGTCAATATTTGGTGAGCTGGGTCAAAAATTTACAAATTTGTTAATAATGTTAATCGCAAATAAAGGCTTTACATGGCTTGAATTAAACTGTAATAACATGGTAATGTTCGACTCGAATTCAAGTTCCCTTTTAACTGGAGAATGCTATCGAATTAAAGTGCAAAACAAATGTATTTCAACACTTGAAATTTGAATGTTTGACTGGAATTCAATTTGTTTTACATTTGAATTTCAGCAAAAATGCTTATATTAACTAATGAGCAAAATGAGACAAATCTATACAAAATCCATATTTTTTTGGATACCTAATGTTCATACATAAATTTGAGCGATAAATCGCTGAAATTTTGAAATATTTACTACATTTATAAGGTCCATTTGAAAAAGAAATTCGTCAAAGTGTAGTAGAAATATTATGTATATAAACTTATTATTTTATTCATCACTATTATTGATGCAATGTTACTGCAAAATTGTTATTTTTATTTCCATAAATAATAATAATTAAATATCTTTTTCATTATGTAGAAAAAATCTTGTTGCAAATTGCCAACCAGACGACATCTTAAATATATTTATGTACATTGATGTACATACATCAAATTACAATTATCGCATAAATATATGCAACTTGTTTTAACTTAATTAAGTAACTTATAAAGTTTAACAATGAAATTTGAAATATGAGATTATTGTAATAGTTTCTACTTAAAATTTACAATTTGTGTTTGTCCAAAATTTAGGTTTAATACAAGTAGATAATTGTCAGAATAATACAATGATCTATATATGGGCTTTTCCATCGATCGAACGCGAACGTGAAGATCGTACGTTTTAACGAGATGAAAAATATACCTTTCTATATATGTACATTAGAGTGTCCCGAGGAACAGGCTTTTTAAGAATTTCATGTAGGAATGCCACTAAATCGATGCGTATTAATGTACTGAACACAAGAAAAATAAAAAATATTTTTTTTTGTATATTCCTCAGTTCCCTACCAGCGATTGAAAATCCTGACGTCAGTATAATTTTTGAAAAATAAAATATTTTCGATTTTTTCCAAATGGGTCTCAAAAATTCCATAATTTTGAGCTGATTACGGGAAAAATAATTTAAACATTTTTGTATAATATTTTTGGTCCACAAAATGATTTTTAGTGGGTTGGAGAGGCATATTGTTTTCGCATTTTATCGAAATTTCAGAAAATTATTTTTGAACATATTGTACTGAGATCAAGTTTTTCAATCGCAAGTAGGGAACTGAAGACCTTTTTAAAAAATTGTTTTTTATTTTTCTCGTATTTAGTACATTCAAACGCATCGTTTTAGAGGTATTCGTCCTAAAAAGTGCTCCACGGGACATAGGTATGTATATTAGACCGACTCACAAAAAATAGTGCTTGAGTTACCCCTGTTCCCTGTTATGTAATATGATATTAACCAAAATATTTTGGCTTTAGTGTTGTCCGTTCGTGAGCTGGACAGTTTTCAAGATAATATTGTATGTTAAATTTTTTTTTCATGTTCAATTCAATATTTTACCCAGCTTTAAAAAATCTTTGTTTTGTTTTATGATGGTTCCCAAAATATTTTAAGTCTAGCGATGACCGAACGATCATCGATAGACCGTTCAGTCATCGTCATAAAACAAAGCAAGGTAAATTTTGAGAGGGGTAACAAAAACACATTTTTACTTTCCATACAGAGTGAGTCGGTCTAATGTATATGTATGTATATATTTTTATAGGGTTTCAATAGCTCTATAATTAGTCGAGAGAAGAAATTGAAAGAACTTAATGGCCATAAGATATATGTAAGTACTTAAAGTGCGTGACGTTACAGACATAGAAGTTCACTTTTTTTTTTCTTTTTTTTTTGACAAAAATGTAAAAATCTGCGAGTTTCACTGGCTACTTGATTAAAAGCTTTTTAGGTATAATTTGGAATATTTTTTAGATCGTTTTTCAGCTTTTAGAACTAAAAAATGGTTTTCAAATTTTTTGTACAAGCCGTTATGTGTGACATAACGTGACCGACAATACCTGATGTAACAAAAATTTCATGGAATTTGCAATTTAAATCTTAAGAAAAATAAGTTTCTTTCAAAAATTATAAATATATACATGCTAATTCTTCTATTCAATTAAATGAAAAAATTTCTTCTTGATCTTTAAAAAAAATGTGATCAATAACATCTAACCATAAATGCACGGTGAAATGTTTTTTTTAATATTTAGCTCTTTAATGTACATATTTTTAATATTTTCCATTTTAAAGTGGAAATATTTTATGAAATTTTCTTGGCCAAAATATCTTATATGTATTTCAGAAATGTCATACCATTACATTAACTAAACGTTTGTACGACTATTTGCATATAATTTACCCATGTACATATATCGATTTGTATACGTTCTAAAACGTATGTGTATCATATTTTGTGTTCAAAATTCCGGTCAGCCACTTTCAAAGAAGGTCATTTGTAATTTTAATCTTACAAATTTGAAAGTATGTTTGTTTATTTTTTATATTTTTATGTCTTAAATAAACACTAACTTCGAAAACACAAAAGGGCTGTAAGATATTTGCACATATTTACCCATTGTGTATGTGTGTCGAGTTAAATGCAAGCTTGAATTACTTGATGCACTTTTGCTCATTTGACGTGTTTTTGGTATAAAAGATACCAAAAGTTGATCTTAAGTCATCATAAGTTTTATTGCATTCAACGCAAATAGTTGTGTGGTAAAACAATCACGTCCAATACATTCATCACAAAACGGCAGTATCGTCTACCAAATACTAAATACAAACAAGAAACAACTAAAAGGATTTATAAAGTTTTCTGTAAACGGAATATTGACTACGTTTATCAGTTTTATTACCTGAGTGCGCGTGTTTAAGTGAAAATAATTTCAAACTTTTATATAAAAAAAGTGTTGATAACCGAAGAAGTTTTTAAAACGTTTATTAAACTCATTTACAAATTAACAAGTTTCACTAAGAATATGAAGTGGGTAGGTGAATGACAACAAAAAACTAAATATTGAAAAATAACTTTAATAAAAGAAAGTTTAACTATAATGGGTTGTTAAGCCCATCTATCATTTTGTAAATTGTTTCTGTAGAACATTTCATAAAAATATTACGCTACAACAGAGAAATAGCCAGAAAAGCGTTTAAGAAAAATAAAAAAAAACAATTGAAATGTCCTTTCCAGCACAAAACTAATAATTCATACATAAAGTGAACGTGTCTACACATCCTAAGATATTTGTAAACGGACAATCCTATTTCTGTCAGATTATATATTGGTAAAATAACAACATAAAAAAAAATATTAATACAAAATCAAAGAAAGTTAAACCGAAGAGAAAGCTCTCTAAACTGGAGATCCGAAATAAAACTATGTTCTCAAACATTACAGTTCCCAAGGAAACTACAACAAATTCTGTAGAATAAAATTCTGTTCAGCTACTCTTCCGTATTGTATTCTCAAAAGGCATTGAATTTATGTAAATACATACATCTGTATAAGTACATATCTACTTAAAGAGATAACAATCTTAAGGACATCATCCTTTTTTAGATAGAGTGCATAAAAGTATGAGTAAAAGTTGAATTTATGATGACACCAATTCATATAATGGTACTTTTTATTTTACTCTAAATTCCTCACATACCAAATACCAAATGTGTGTTCAGTCATGCATCTTTATACAGTCGTATATACCCAGCAAAAACTTACATTGAAAAGTAATGAGTTAAAAAGCAAAACAAACCCGCTTTTCACTTATTATTTTAACACAGAGATGACATTGGATGCAAGTACTTACAATGTACGCTTACAAATCGCTACTTAAATAAGTAGTTACAAATAGGGAGTTAAAAAGTTATTTTGAACTAATACGAACTTGGGCTTCTTGTTCGTTAGATCGCTGTTTTACTCACAATACTACTTATTGTGCGAAAAAATTATGGTTTTAACACAGAAAAACAATTTACTTACCTTCTGTGTGTAAAATATCTAGTAGTCATTGAAAAGTAAGTGATTATACATAAAAGTACAAGTCATTGCCGAGTTTTTGCTTGGTTCATACACATGTATGTACTCATATATACTTGTGCTTAGACATATGAATGTATATACATATATATATATATATATATATGTTCATTCACATTAAGACTATAACAAGACCAAAAATAAAAGCCGTGCGTGAGCATTTATACAAAAAGGACTTTTTTCATTTATTTTTTACTCTCTTTTATTTAACTAGAGATATGAAAGTATTTTATATAAAACCATCATCATCCACATCATCTTAACATCCATCCCATCAGTTTTTCACACATAGTAATTTAGAAGCATAAGGAAAAGTTTTCTTTCATATTTTCAAAATAGAAATGAAAGTGAAAATCATTTGGTTTTTGGGAAATGAGGAGAAAAAAATAAAGTTTACAAAATAATAATCTTTAACAAAGATATATCGTCGCTTTTAGCAAGAAAATCACATAGTATATTCAGTATACACAACGTTGATTAAACATAAAACAGGATTCCAACAATATAAACAATATACTATTTATAGTAACTATCACGACCCACTTAAAATGTAATGTTATTGTCAAGAGAAAGCTCACATTCAGGTAATAATCAACCAAGGTCCTTCTAATTGCAAATTAATTTCAAGTGTTAAATTGTTCTGAAATTAATAATCTTAACCCACCAACTACAACGAACAGCTAAAACTTAGAGCTACAAGGACTCAAAAGTCATAAAAACTATTTATTTATTTATTTATTCCATTCATTATGTACTACTTGCATTACAAACTCTTCATTTTTATACCCTACACCACTTTAGTGGGGAGGGTAATGTAAACCTTGTAATCAAACTACAGGTCGCAATTTTGGAGATAATTCAATGAAATTTGGCACATGATCTTCTATTGTTCCACGAAACCTATTGGAAATGGTTAACATCGGTTCATTTTTTCACCTAGCCCCCATACAACTGAACCCGACGAATAGGGAGTTTAAGCTCATAATTGTGTTTAATATACTCGTATCTCGACAAAAAACTACAAAACCAAGTTCTATACCAGCCTTGATGACCCTCATGAATTTTTTAATTATAGGGTCTCATTTGACCATAGCCCCTAATCAAAGCCCCCTTCAAAATTCGACTTAAATGTCCACAATTGTATTCAACAATAAATAGCTTAATTATATTTGAGGCAAGGTACAACTCAACAGGCAAGGTACAACTCAACACAACAACAGCTACCGCAGACGAAGCCTATTGAAAATGGTTAACATCGGACCATTATTTCACCTAGCCCCCATACAACTGAACCCGCCGAATAGGCCTTTTAAGTTCATAATTATGTTTAATATACTCCTATCTCGACAAAAAGCTGTAAAACCAAGTTCTATACTAGCCTTAATAATCCTCATGAATTTTATAATTATAGGGTCTCATTTGACCATAGCCCCTATTCAAAACCCCCTTCAAAATTCGGTTTAAATGTCCACAATTTTATTCAACATTAAATGGCTTAAGTATAATTCAAGTCAAGTTACAATTCAACTTAAATGCTTCATTATGAAAACTAAATCACATTTTATTTTTATAACAGGTGTAGGGTATTATATGGTCGGCCTCGCCCGACTATAATTTCTTACTTGTTTATATCTTCTTTACTTATGCAACTTTTATAACATCAAATGACTTCTTCACAATGCATTTCAATTTTTGTTCTTGATATTTAATTTTGTTTCATGTTTTGCAATTTTTATAGATTTTTACAACATTTTGTTTTCAATTTCCAGTTTATTGCCTGTTTGTGTTTGAGTGTGCTGGCTGGCAACATTGTTAGAGCTTCATATCCGGCTCTGCATGCACTGCATTTTGCACAACAGAAAGCTGCTTTGGGTCAACAAGACCAGCAGCATTCCTCGTCACTGGAACAACAAGCCTCGGACTCATCGGAATTGGGAAATGAATTGGGATCCTCTGTTACCTCATCGGAAGATTATGATGCTCATCCTCAGTATAGTTTTGCTTATGATGTCAGAGATTCGTTGACCGGCGATGACAAGCAACAAGAAGAAAAACGTGATGGCGATGTGGTACAAGGACAGGTGAGCAATTATAATCTATAATATAAAAAAGTTCTTGTTCGTTATTGTCTCTTCTGTAGTATTCACTTATTGAACCCGATGGCACCCGCAGAGTTGTGGAATATACAGCCGATGATATCAATGGCTTTAATGCAGTAGTTTCCAAACAAATGTTAGATGAACAACAACGCCTACGTGCATCCGCTGCTGCTGGTACATCATCTTCATCACGTTACAATAGCATTGAAGTATTGCAATCTCAACTGCAAGCTCATGCTATTGCTGAAGCTCAAGCTCAGAGTGCTGCATATGCTGAAGCTCAAGCCTTGGCCGAGGCTCAGGTAAGAGCTGAGGCAATGGCTCAATCACAACAAAACTCTCAGGCAGAACAACAGGCTAGAGCTCAAGCAGAAACTCAAGCACGTTCTCAAGCTCAGCATTTGATGGAACAATTCGAACAGCAATATAAGCAACAACAGCAGCAACAGTTGCAGCAACAGCAATTGCAACAGCAACAATTGCAATTGCAAGCTCAACAACAACTACAACGTGCCCAACAGCAACAACAACAGCAATTATTGCGCACCCAATTGCAACAATCCCAAGAACGTTTGACCAATGAACAAGCCTTATTACTCTCCCAAACTCTCCCCAACCAAGCTTTAGGCCACAGTGTACACGCCACTGTTGTTTCACACCCTCCCACTCTTTTGTCACGCACTCCCAGTGGCTCTGTATTTGCTCAAGCCCGCGATATTTCAGCTCTTAAGGACATACGTGACAATACAGCTCGTCTTACAATTGAACGTACTGCACAGCCTCAGATAGTTATTACTCAACCTGCCAGTGCCACAGTTCAAGCTTCAGTCATACATTCTCCCTTGTCGTTATTAGACACAACTAGTACAACCAACGCTTTAAATGGAAATGGTTTAAGAGGCAGTTCTTTGATCTCCACTAGAATTACCAGCAATGGACGCACAACTGGCAATGGCAATTTGCTATTAAACGGCAACGGCAGACGGACCAGTGAACAATTGTTGGAAGAATTGGACAGCAACGAATTGCAAAATTCTTTAGGTCGTCATTCAACAGCCACTAGTTCGGCCAGTATTAGAATCCTGAATGGAAATGGCAATGGAGAGGAAAGCGCTCTTCGCAATGGCAACGGAAATGTTAATGGTAACGGCAATGGTAATGGTAACGGCAATGGAAGCGGCAATGGCAACGGTCTCAGTCATGCAAGCAATGGCAACGGTAATGGTAATGGCCGCTATAATTTAGATGATAGTTTGGAATTGCGTTTAAATGGCCACAGCAGCAATGGTTTAAGAAATGCTCTTCGTCAGCAGCAAACCAGACGTTTACAAACTATTTACACCAACGGCAATAGTAATGGCAATGGCAACGGTAATGGTAACGGCAATGGCAACGGTAATGGTAAAGCCTTATGGTAAATCAAACCCTTCATTATATCGAAAATTCCGTTTAAACAACAAACTATTTAGGACGAAAACAGCAACAACGATCACAATTAGTTTATAGAAAATAACTAAAAACAAAACACTCAAGGCATTAATGACTTTATCCATATCCGGCTAACTCTAACAGGACAACGCGATTATTGATTTTCGGTTATATTTTTCTTAATATTAGGTTTTAGCTTTAATTTTAAAACAAATTATTTTTGTGTTTTTTATGCTTCTCACTTTTTTATTAATATTTAACTAATGATTTAAGTTATTTGTTACTAACAAGGGATTTAGGGTTTTTTATATTTTTCATATTTCATTCATGTCATTACACAGATAATAACAACCAACATTTTTACTAAAAAACTTTCTTACATATTTCTTAAACTACTCACTCCAAAATAATTACGCTTTTAATTGACATTACAAGACCGATTTCCAATACCTTTCTATTTTATCCCTTCTGTTTTCCCAATAACTCTCTAAGTTTTGTTTTCCCAATAACTCTCTATATTTGTACTTTTATCTATCATTTTTCATTTAGTATTTTCCATTTATCTTTCTTTATTTATGTTTTAAAAGCAATATTTCATACATGTTATATTTAGACTTTCTTGCAATTTTTAAATGATAAAGGAAAAAATATATTTCATAGAGAAACATACAATCAAGTTTGAACCTCTAAATAATAAAAAAATGAAGAATTTTCAATTAAATTTACATTCAAAAATTGACACTCAAACCGTTATAAATACATAACTAAATGTAATAAGCTTTGCCGTTCGCAAATCAACCGACTGGTTGTCTGTTTCAATAAAAAAGTTATTTATTTAAAACTACTTTCTACTTCTTACTATCTATACCTCAATTGTCTATAAACAAATCAGGAATAAACGAAAGAAATAATGCGTTTCCTGCTACTGCCACAGTTTGTATACAAAGGCACGTTTATAAATTAAACATTATATTTGTCATGTTAAATATTTAATACATATTTATGATTACATCAAAGTTTTTCACTAACTAATACTAACTATCTGTTCTATTTATTTATCTTATCTTTACATTCTTTTCATACACACATACAATAACAAAGTATTTTTCATTTTTCCTACATTTTAAATGTGTATTTACTAATGCATTTTTCCGTTATGTTCTTATGTAGTTTATATTCATAAGCTAAGTTTAAAAAAATGGCATCCTAAAAAAAAACATTAAAAAAATAAATAAAATGTATATTTTTTGCAACACAAATGCAAAAATAAAAAACTTTAGATTGTTTATTTTTGTCTTGTGAACTTTAATAGGTTTCCTTATTGTTGGGACTTTTTGTATATAAACTATGAAACCATTTATCTAAAGGATTATAAACTTTAAGTTATGAACTTTTGGTCAAGTTGAAAAAATTTCTATCTAAAACCTTTAAAATTCAAATGAATAATATTTATTTTTACTTTTGCTTACAAAGATTTTTAAGGGCAAAACTTAGAGAGTAAGTAAGAGTGTTATATTCATCTATGGCATAGATGAATATGCCGACCTTAAATACAATTTTAGAATGAAACTTTATATATGGTCTTATATATTCTTCAAAAGTTTAAATCATTTTAATCCACTTTATTTAATCGCAGGCCACATTTCAAATCAACAAAAACAAGTAAGAAAGTATAGTCGGGCGAGACAGACCATATGATACCCTGCACCAGTTATGAATATTAAATGTGATTTAATTTTCATAATAAAGCATTCATCTTCAATATTCCCTTGTTCCGATACATTTAAGCAATTTATGGATGAAAAACTAATTTTCTGAAAGAGGCTTTATATGGGGGCTAGGGGCAAATATGGACCAAGCCCGATAAAATTTTGTGAATATATTTATATTTACATAATATTTTATTGTGCTGAATTTCATCGCGATATTTGTGTTTATAAGCTAATTTGGGACATTCAAGTAATTTTCTGAAGGGGACTTTGTATTGGAGCTAGGGTCAAATGTGGCCCGATCTTTATGAAATTTGGCAGGGTCATCAAGACTTCTATAAAACTTAGTTGTGCGGTATTTTATCGATATATCTGTATATTTAACATAATTATGAGCTCAGAAGCCTTTTTCGGGGGGTTCTGTTCTATGGGGGCTAGGTGAAATAATGGACCGATTTTAACCATTTTCAATAGGCTTCGTCCTTGTGTCAAATAAAACGTGCGTGCCAAATTTCATCCAATTATCTTGAAAATTGCGACCTGTACCTTGCGCACAAGGTTTACATGGACAGCCAGACGGACGGACGGACATAGCTTAATCGACTCAGAAAACGATTCTAAGCCTATTGGAATACTTTAAGGTCTAGGACGAATACTTTTGTATGTTACAAACATCAGCACGAATCCAATATACCCTCCCCACTAAAGTGGTGTAGGGTATAAATACGTACTACAGAATACAATCCTCTCGCATTTCCTGCAATTTCCATAATTAATTAATTTTCCATTACATAGAAAGCAATCGCGGCAATACCTATTTCTTGGGCATAAAGTTTTTAAGAAACTTAACCAAAATAAAGACTGACAAATAAAATAAAGGCAAAGCAAATGTATGGTTGATGGATAAATGGAAGAAATTAAAATTATTACTAATATTTTTTCAACATTTGCGAATTTAACGCCTTTCGGTAACTCTCTCTCTCTCTCAGCTACTCAGGCATTTATTGATTTCTAACCATTCCGTTATAACAAGTATTGTGGGGTGAAATCAAAGATACTTTTACAAAAATAAATAAAAAATTGGCTCCATTTCGTTTTATAATGTTCAAGTGGATTTTTTCATAAACATTAAGAAATCACTTAAAAGTTCATAAAATGAATAGCGTTATAAACTAAGTAAGTGGAAAAGTTTTTAAGCGAATTTTTCTCCTTCCTCTTCTTCTTCGAAGGCAAATACATTGTAGACGCGTTTAAACACAACAAAATATAACACTTACTACTAAATGACGTTATATACACACAGTACATACCCTACCAGCAGCTCAACTAACTTTAAATGCATTAAAAGCCGACTTTTTCATCAACTAGTTATGGTTGATCATTGGATTATTTTTAATGGAGCCAACTGACTATTTTAACATGGCGATGTCCTACGCAGTAGTCAATTGTCCGACTCTGCATAACTTTTCAACTAACTTAAAGTTAGTTACAAAAAGATTAGTTTAAAGTTACCTGTTTATTAAATAACTTAAAGTTAGTTGCAGAAAAGTCAACTAATAGTTTTCTTTTGTATTACCTACTGTATTAATTAATTACATTTTAATTAAATATATGTAAAATTTATTTACATTAACTAAATATATTTAAAATTTATTTAACTATTAGTTATCTAAATTACATTTCGCTTTAATAAAATATTAAAATCTTCTTTGTTTTGATAATTGAAAATGAAAATTATTTCCAGTGCTTATTCTGTAAGATATTTATGGCTCAAGTTCATTAGATCCATAGATAAGTAGTTGAAAATACTGTGAAAATAAACACCTTTTTAAGATTTGGAAAGTTTGTGCAATATGATCTGCTTTTTCAAGTCGTGATAGTAGTTTGTTAAAATTAATAGACATCAGTTTTCTGCAGGGGAACTAATAATAACACCGGTATCCATGATCCAAATCTAAATAAATTTAAAAATGTTATGTGTAATGTTAACTATTAATGTACTATATTTATAGTATCAATCAGCAGAATTTAGGATTTAGAGACCGAGTTTTGAAATATTTAACCTTTTATAATTTATATTTCCAATTTACTGGCTCTAATTTCACAATGTATACAAGAAAATGACAAAAATGTAAAACTAAATTCCAAATATTAAAGAAACATGAGAAAACATGTCAAAAAAAAATGCTCTCCAGATAATTTTGGGGTACTTCTGCATTATATGATAGTTAGCTTGTAGCTAGTCTTTAAAAGTCGGTTGCTTAGGTTAACAAATACCAAATTTTTGAACATTTCTGAATAAAATTCTCTCCAGATAATTTTGGGGCACTTCTGCATAACATGATAGTTAGCTTGTAGTTAGTCTTTAAAAGTCGGTTGTTTACGTTGCCAAATACCAAATTTCGAGACAGCTCTGCATTACATTGTAGTTAACATATAGTCAGTCTGTAAAAGTAAACTAGAAACTAATTTTTCTAGTAGTCGATTAGAAAATTGCTGGCAGGGTATGTATGTATGTATATCTACTGCAACATTTACCCAGCAGTTCGACAAAGTAAAATAAAAAACACCTTCAAAGTGTACGTAGTGAACTGTTCTTGTATTTTTAATTTAAACATTATCTAAGTTAAATACTGTCAAATGTGGTTCAAATCCGCCGAATATAAGAAAACAATTATATAGCATACTCATATAGATATTGAACAAATTTTAACTTTGTGAGCATCTCCCAAAAACCTTAATTTTAATAATCAAAAATTGTTTTTTTTTTTTTAATTTTCGATTAAAGTTTGTACACACATTCTTTGTATAAATACGAAGTTAAAAGTTCACATAAATTTCCAAATTTATTACGGTTAAGATTTTATCGAGGATCTCAACTAACTAGTTACCTCTGGTAAATGAAGTGGTTGATAGTCCAAACGTTCACTACATTTCACCATTGTAATCAATAGTTCACATTTGAGAAATTTTCGCATGAAGTTTATGAAAATAAATTCCAAATAAATAAAATTAGAGCTTTGTACGAACTAGAGATCAGTAGCTCAGATGTGAGAGGTTCTAACTACAAAACGTTAAACCACAAGATCAATCCCAGTTTCAGAATTAAGTTTTTGTTGAAGAATTTGAACTAGTGAAATTAATGGAAACATGTTATGCGTAAGGTGTCAATCGGCCATATCGCCGTTGTCGAACTAGTTCGTCGTACTGCAGGGCAATTAATGCTTATGTGTTGTAGTTGGACAATATTAACAAAAAATTAAAAAATTTGAAATATGTATGGTAATGATGTGGATTAATTTACTAAAAGTTGATCCTCTCATTGTGATTTTCTTTTTTTTTTTTTTGTATTTTGTTGAGTACACACACTATAATCTATTTTTGGTGAAGAAATACAGAAAATGGAAGGTACCGTTTTTAAGATTTTTTAATATCATTATCCTTATTTTGAAACTATAATATTTTAACAAATGTATTGTTAAATGGCATGATATAGGCATTAATAAAAATTAAACGATTAAAATCGGATAAATAGTTTAGAAAATATACCACGAAAAGATCCTACAAATATGAGCTTTGAACCTCGATAAAATCTAAACCGTAACGATTTTGGATAACTTTAAAATTAGTATTTATATAAATAGAGTGAGGAGAGGGACATGTTCAAAATCCCCTTTTTTGTTCGAAATTTTTTAAAATTATCCTATAGGTAAAGAATTACGTAATTAAAACTATACATAAACAAATTAAATGATTATTTTCTGTTCCTGGTTAAAACCACAAACAAATAAGAAATAAGTAAAAGTAATTTTATACAATAAGAGTTTTTTTATTTTTTCATAATTTTCCACAGTTCAACAATCATTAGTTATATAGCTGGAAATGTAACTAGTAAGCATTAGTTACCGTAGTAGGTTAAGAAATTAATTCGGGACTGTATCCTTGAATTGCTGGGTATTCATATACGTATACAACATATATATGTATATGTATATACATATACTGTACAACATGAAAAGCCAAAAGGAACGTCAGCAAAGGCATTTGTCTTGTATCATTTAACGCATTGACAAGTGACGAAGGCATTGTATCACATTACATGGAATCTTTTCATACACTCAAAGAGATAAAAATTGACAAAACAAATATAAAGGATTTTTCTATAATTATAATTCAAACATAATGATTGATATCCACACACAGTAAAAAAAATCATTCTTAATGTGTGTTATCGAAAGTTTAATTTTTTTATTTTTAATGCATATGTATGTACATGTACATATTTATACAGGATGAAAATAAAACTGATTAACAGAATTCAAATATATTTCTTTGGGTGTAACGAGCACATGTTAGCTCTACAAAACAATTTGTAAAACTAAACTATTAAAAACTACAATTTCCTACCAACTACTACAGCAACAATAGTGTTGTACTGTATGATGTTAGTACTGCTGATAATATACATACATATGTATATATGTATCTATTTATGGGTATGTATGCACTTGTATAAATGTAACCATTTTCCAAACGGATATGGATACAATTAAGCTCAAGTGCTTGCATACAATTTG